TTACTGAAACTTTCAAGCCACTGGGGTTACAATGGCTTTATTCCTATCTTCTTTTCTCTTATCACTTCGCATTTGGTTAGCTTCTCTCATTCCATATTAGTAGAAAATTACGTTTCTTCTACAACATTGAGACTACAAATAAACGAGTTCACAATCTACTCGATTAGATCTAGAAGCAGTCAAGGTATATCTAACCTATTTTATGAATCTTCTAGCCTTTGCTATGTTCAAATTATTATTATTTTTTCTCTTTCCCTTTATTCTCCATTGTTCTTGATATATTTTTTCTAATTCATTTGTTTAATTGTTTTAGTTATCTCTTTGTTAAGAGCTTTGATTAAGTTTTTTTATTATTTCCTTTTGGAACTAATTGTGGGCTGTTGCTTGGATCCTCTTTGTGTTCTATGGGTCTTTGTGCTTGGATGTTATCATCTTTGAAAAGTTTTGGTTTTTATTAAGTTGGCTGTTAAGAGAGTTCATAGGCACTGTTAAGAGTCTGGTTGTGTTTTTAAGAGCTTCGAGTTTGTTGCTTCTATATTTCCCCTTCAATGTACACTTATACATTTGTAATAATGAATTTTGTGGAAGTTATAGGATTTCTAAAAATATATAAAAAAAATCAAGAACAAATTACTAAATTAGTATTAAAAGTTTGACACTTATTATAATTTGGTTTATAATATTTTTTTGTTACAATATGATATATGATATTTTCTATTTGTATCAAATGCACAGTTTCCTTCAATTTCCTAATAGAAGAAACTAAAATAGTTAGATTATAATTTGATACTTTAAAAAAATAATTGAAAAAATAATTTTGATTAATTAATTAAATAAAAAAATTAGCAACAATTAGAAACAGGCCTGGTACTAGTATTTGTTTATTAATCTATTAATTTAATTAATTAGTTAAAATCATTTTTTTGAGTTATTTTTTAAAGTATCGAAATATGGTCTAGCAATTTCAGTTTTTTCCTTTAGAAAATAGACAAAAACTAGACATTTGAAATAAACAGAAAATGTTGGGGAACAAATTATAACGAAAAGAACATACGAGACCAAATTGTAATAAATGCCAAACTTCGGGAACTAATTTAGTAATTTTTCAAAAATTAAATTGAATAAACCAAACTAAACTGAATAATTTTGATTTGGTTTTTATAATAAAATGATCTGCTCTAGTTTGAAACTTTTACAAACCAAATTTCCTGATTTAGTTTTGATATAGGGTGTAAACCAAACTAATCCATTTAGACCCCTACTTCTAGCTAAGTAAAATCTGTCCATCTTCCTTTGACTTTGTATTTTGATTGCTTGTTCTTGATACTTTTTGGGCATTTGAATCTATGTGTTAAGTTAGAATTACAAATGCAAGGGCATATGTTAGCATATAATTCTAAAGTAATAAGGTTTAGTAGCTTTCCTCTATCAACTTAAGCTTTTGGGAAAACAGGTTATACAACTTTATTTTTCCATAGATAAGATTGTTGGCTTGTTTCACTTTCTCGTGTACCATCTACTCTTGCTCATTTGTTTAGTCAGTGATGTTTTAATCTTTTGTCATCTTGCTACCACTTCAGTAGATTGAAAATTCTCTAATACTCACTTTGGATGAAAATTAAGGTCTTATTAGGATTGAGGATCATTTATGCTTGTGATAATACAGTTACTCTGATGAATTATTTGCATGATTTATTCATGGTAATCTTTTCTGCATTAAAGTAACTAATTAAAATCATTGCTGGTTGATGTCCATATTTTTGGATTCTTGCTGGGACTGCATGTTAGGCTAGTTGCTTATGCAAGTAAGGCTTGTTTATTGATTGCTTTCTACCTCTATTTTAGTTGCTTATGGATTGCGTTTTTAACAGTACTAGGACTTTTGCAAGTTATTTTTGGAGACTCTGCTTCTCCACCTTCACAATTGCATGGTTAAGTGGTGATGTTGAGTTGATAATATTTATATAATTCCGGACCTATGGTGTTCTGTGCTCTTGTTGTGCTTTGACTAGCAGATCCAGTATCAATCTAAACTCAAGGTTGGTATCCGATGCAGGAGAAGAGGCGTGATACGTGGTGCCCAGGTAGACTTTCACGGGAGTCCATATTAAAGGTAATTACTCTCTTATGCTAGGTATAGACGAATAGCTTCATCTCGTGCACTTGATCATTACAAAACTGAAGATGTAATCCTTCTTCTTCTCTCTCTGTTCAGATGTTTAATTTTGAGATTGACTAAACAAATATGAGTAACTGAAAATATGGTTTACAGATACTGGATTCTGGCTTGGCTAGAAGGGGTGAAGTGAGATTTAGGGATCTGAATATATGTTTTCCAGTGTCTGATCCTATTCTCTCAATCACAAAAATTAGAAAGAGGAGCAATCGATAATTACTGGCTTTGCACTAGTAGCATCTATGGGAAAGCATCCTACTAAGAAAGTATTAAGTTTATCATGCATTATAGGGTTTTGATATGCTGGAAATAGCTTGAGAATTGAATGGTATCTTGTTAAGATTTACTGTAAGAGTTTCCCACTTTACATAGGTTTTGGCACCGTGACTCTAATCAGAATTGGTCTTTGATGATTGGAAATAAACCAACTCGAACTGCAAATTAAAGATAAAAGACTCAAATTAAATATTGAGCAATACAACACTTTTCTAGTAGAGGGTTTAGTGCAATGTTTTAAACCATATCTTGCCATAATGCTGCCTACATCACTATAACAGTAGGCTGAATAAAGACACAGCAGACATGATTTAATTCCCACACATTGTGGTCATCACACAAATAAAGCCTTCTCTTTCTGCTTATTAATCCTATAATGTCTAATTGATAATGTTTGTAACTGACATTTTGTTGTGGTTCAGGTTTACTCAAACGTCAAATTGAGGGATTCAGCTGATAAGCCTCTGAGATCTGGGCGTGATATTGGGCCTCTGTTTCCTTTTGAAGAATTATGGAATGAAGATGAAATTAGTGATGCTATTTGCAAGCAAGAGGAAGATAGTAAAGAACATTTACCATCAGACTGTTCGCTTCCTGATCCACGGGCTTTATTAAATGTAACAAGCAGAAGAAAAGTTCCTCCAAGGAAGAGAAACTCTTTTTTGGTTTGCACAGTGCCATCTCCTTAATTGGTTGTTATGTTGAACTTGTTTCTCATTAATGTCAATCCATTTGTCAGGAGGAGAATGAACTGGGAGAAATGCAAACAGAATATGAAGATTTGCTATTAAAATATGAAGATTTGCTATTAAAATATGAAACTCAGGTTACCTTTTTTCCCTATGTTTCCTGCAATACATTTGTATGGTTTGTACCTCACACTTGTGTGTTCATTCTCATGCAGAGAATTATCAGTGATGTACAAATTGATTGCCTAAACAAGAAGTTGGAAGAGGTTGATTTATTTCATGATTTGACATGTGATGAGTGTGCAAAATATCATGCTAATAATCATTATGGGGATAAAAGTGTCAGTTTAAGAGAGTCCGAGGCTATTTCTGTGATCAA